TGCGATCAACACGGGGTGTAGCATGCCACAGAGCTTTCAGATATTGGATATCGATCAAATAATCCACATCATCGTGATATTCGGTTACAGCATGACAGTTCGCAACGCACTGTGCTCATAGCAAACGTATATGAATACATATTCATCAGCTTGATATGTCAGCTTACATCGCATACGTTACAGCTGACAAGGAGTAGTAGTAGTAAACAATGCATCTACTTACTGATCAACTTATTCGCATTACCATACCATCTAGATAAATTTCTTTGCTAACGCCACACGTATCTATCTCCGAATATGACATATATACATATATACATATATACATATTATAAATATATAAATATATATAAATATATATCGACATACCAGGGGGTGTGGCGATGTACAGAGCATTGACCTCATCGTCATTGATGAGTTGATCCACATCATCGTACCATTTGGGCACTCCGTGTCGTTTGGCAAAGTCTTCCGCTGCTGCGCCATCGCGCCGCATCACAGCCACCAACTCAGACCCATCGCACTTCTGAAACGCAGGTCCGCTCTTGACTTCACATACATTGCCTACCCCAATGATACCCCATTTTATCTCCTGTGTTGGGTGGGTATAGACAGCCTGTGAGCTATGTAGGTATATATCAAGTGTGTTGTATGTAGGTTATGCTCAGTGGGTGCTGAGCAAACCATATGTTGTCCTGGGCAATTCACTTAATGTATATCGGAACCCCCTTTCCTTTGTTCTTTAGGTACATAAAGTGTGTATGTTTGAGTAATTATGATTTTATACAGTAGGCACTATCCCTCTCACACATTGTCAACTGCAACGATCCTCAATTCAATATCCTAATCTCTCGGCCTTAGGAACCTGAAGCTTTAGGTGCAAACAAACCATCATATAGAGACCTCATGCCACTGCTTCGCAAATTCGTGGAACAACACTCAGATATACAGTGCACTCAGCTAGTTGTTGTGATATCTTAAGATTATATAAGACTACTCCTCACACACATTGCCCACTACAGTACTTCCGAATAGATACCCATATGATGTACATATGGATAGTATATGTTTACTGGTCTCTCGATAATTTGTCGAGCGATGCGACATTTAAACCCATATACATCGGCAACCACAATGATTTACGATTGCATATGATGTGCTGTGTAGGTACATACAGAGTGTATATTGAGAGGGTGATATCTATATAATATCCTGTGTTGTGTAGGCATATACGAAGAGTATATACAGTGTATATATCTATATAATATCTTGTGTTATGTAGATACATACAGTGTATATACAATGTATTTACCTATATGAGATATCCTGTGTTATGTACGTATAGGCAGAGTGTATGTTGAGTACTTACATCGCAAACCCATGTTCGAATTGGATAATACATACTTTTATATGCAACTTCATTGTTGCTAGCTCAAGCTTTTCCCGTTACAATATAAGGTATTCGAACAGTAAGAAGTGGAATAATCCGCTGCTATGTATATCTTGTGACTTGTGGCATCAACTATCAAGAGTATATATACATATATTGCGCCTTTCGGGCAGAGTCAGACTGTGCAGAGTAATATTGTATTGGGAATGTGAACTGCCACTATTCATAAAAATTTCGCAAGGGAGAAGGATGAAGGTCAAGGAAGTGTGCATTTGTTGATAAAACTAAAAAATATTTACAACAATAAAAAACAATTTAAATAAATATATATATATTGATGACTCTATTGTTTACTTTTAGTCCCTACGTGTGGCAGCCAATTAAAACTCCATAAATAAATTTCAACTTGGGGTATGATCTACATACGCGGCACAAGTTTATTTAAATAGTATAAATACGTTCTACTTTTGTCTATTGGCTGATTTGGCTCTTTGGCTCTGGTTTCCAAAATAAACGTTAACAGCCGGAAACAAAATATATGACACACGATGTTCACAGTTCACGTTATTGTTTTTGTTTAGTTTTGTACAGTATTTGTGTTTTTGATGCATGACTCATCACTGAGAAAGCCACCAAAAGCGTGAGCTCGAAACAGTGGCTTGAAAGTTCTCAGTTCCTGCAAACCAATCAAAATCAAACCATAGCCGCCAATGATCAAATCAACAAAACTCGAGAAGATTGTTTGTTTTGTATTTTGTTTTGTAAAAACAATAACCAATAAAAAAACATGGGTATTTTTTAAGAAAGCTATGAAAAATAATAAAGAAAAGCGTGAAGTTGGAGGTTGGACCATTGGCGTCTTTGGAGACTTGTGGACTTTTCCACTGGGCACTGTGGCAGTTGGCACTTTGGAGCTTGTACTTGTCCGTGCCCGCGTGGCGACTGTCAAGTGTCGAGTCTTCGTGTCGTTCTGTTGTCACTTTTGTCAAGTTGTCACTTTGTGAGTCACAAAATGAAATGCCTTGGTCAGTTGGTCCCCCAAGTCCAATCCCCATACTTTTCCCGTTTCAGAACTCGGGCCATATTAAAAATATT